AGCTACCTGGAAGGCTGAGGTGGAAGGATTGCCTGAGCCCCGCAGGTTGAGACTGTGGTGGCCGTGAGCATGCCACTGCACTCTAGCCTGGGTGACAGAGTGAGACTCCAACTAAAAAAAAAAAAAGATAAGCCTTCTACCTCGGAAACCCTTCTACCTCATGTACTTGACTCTTCCCTTTCAAGTCCTCGATGAGATGTCACTTCTCCTGGGAACAGTGACATCTACCTCTCTATCCAATGGATTAATTGCTTATGATTTAGTCCCCATGGTGATCTATGCTTGTCACAAAAGAGCATTATTTGACTATATATAGTTAGTTGTTTCTGTCTAACAACTCCACTAAACTGTGTCCAGTGGAGAGGGAGAAATAATTATCTTGTTTTTATTTGTATCTTAGTGCCTAGCTCTAGCTAGTAAGCCCTAGCACAGTGCAGACCCTTAAAATAAGTGTTGACTGAAAAAAAATGAACGCGAGAATGTAATCAACAAAGCAAACATGGATGCCATTCTGCTATATACTTTGGTCTATTCAGTGTTTGAGCCGGAAATCTAACTGGGAAGCACAAGGTAGAGTCAAGTCCTCTGCCTTCTCCGGCTTCGGTATTGCTCCATCTCTTAGAATAAGGAGGCTTAAATTACCACCTATTCCCAAATTCATAGTTTTTTTTTCACCTTTAAATTTTTTATTTTAAAATTGTGGGGTACAATTCAGGGTTGGGTATACAAATATTCATTGTGCAGGTACCCTTGTTGATGAGGTGTTGACCCCTTCCCCACACAGTTTTCCACTACTGCCAATCCTTCTCTTATAGTATTACAATAGTTGTTTAAGATCTACTTATGAGTGAGAACATGTAATACTCAGTTCTTTGTTTCTGTGAAAGATCACTCAGTATTATAGACTCTAAGTCCATCCAGGTTACTGTGAAGTTCATGATTTTGTTCTTCTTTATGACTGTGTAATATTCCATCGTGTATATGTACCACATTTTTTTATCCAGTCTTCTTTTGATGGGCAGTTCCGGCTGGTTTCATGTTCTAGCTATTGTGAACAATGCTACAATAAACATGTGTGCAGGTATCTTTTTTATAGAGTGATTTCAGTTCTTCTGGGTATATTTCCAGTAGGGGGATTGAGGGGTCATATGGAAGGTCAATTTTTAGAACTTTTAGGAATTGCCATTTTTTCTTTTTGAGTTGGAGTCTCACTCTGTCATCCAGGCTGGAGTGCAGTGGCATGCTCACGGCCATCACAGCCTCGACCTGCTGAGCACAGGCGATCCTTCTGCCTCAGTCTTCCAAGTAGCTGGAACAGTTAATTTTTTGATTTATTGTAGAGACGAGGTCTCACCAAATTGCCCAGACTAGTCTTGAACCCCTGGGCTCAGGCAATCATCTTGCCTTGGCCTCCCAAAGTGCTGGGATTACAGGCTTGAGCCACTGAGACTGGTTGCCCTTCTTTTAATGCTTTTAATGTATCCTGTATGTAAAATTTTGCTTTGATGATTTATTTTTATTTTTATTTTTTTGCAAGAAAGCAGGATTTATTGAGAGGAAAGAAAAGCTCCCACAGTGGGAGGAAACCCCAGGGGGATGCCTGATTTTTTTTTTTTAGTTGGTGTCTCACTCTGTCTCTTGGGCTGGAGTGCAATGGCACGCTCACAGCCATTGCAGCCTTGACCTGCTGGACTTAGATGATCTTTCCGCCTCAGCCTTCCAAGTAGCCGGAACTACAGGCATGCACCACCACGCCCAGCTAATTTTTTGATTTATTGTGGAGATAAGGTCTCACCAAGTTACCTAGGCTGGTCTCAAACCTGTGGGCTTGGACAATCCTCTCACCTCAGCCTCCAAAAGTGCTGAGATTATAGGCGTGAGCCACCGCGCCTGGCTGGATGCCCGATTTTTAAACTTTATTTAGCACTTGCATTTCTCTAAATCATGGAAACTTCTTGAAACACTGCTTTAAATAGCTACATAGTATAGTCTGAAGACTTTTTTTTTTTTTGAGTTGGAGTCTCACTCCCTCACTCAGGCTGGAGTGTAGTGGCTCTCGCGCCACTCCAGCGTCGACCTGCTGGGCTCCGGCAATCCTTCCACCTCAGTCTTCCAAGCAGCTAAACTACAGGCACGTGCTACCACACCTGGCTAAATTTTTTATTTATTGTAGAAATGAGGTCTCTCCAAGTTGCCCAGGCTGGTCTCGAACCCGTGGGCTCAGGCAATCCTCTCAACTCAGCCTCCCAGAGTGCTGTGATTAGGCTTGAGCCTCTGTGCCCAACCTATTCTGAAGACATTTTCTCTTTTTTTTTTTTTTGAGTTGGAGTCTCACTCCGTCGCCCAGACTGGAGTGCAGT